ATTGTTGTTTCTGTAACTTTAAAACTGTAGATTATTGTTGTTTCTGTAACTTTAAAACTGTAGATTATTGTTTCTGTAACTTTAAAACTAGATTACTGTTGTTTCTGTAACTTTAAAACTGTAGGTTATTTATTGTTTCTGTAATTTAAAAACTTTAAATTATTATTGTTTTTGTAACTATAAAACTGTACATTATTTATTGTTTCTGTAACTTTAAAACTGTGAGTTATTTATGGTTTTTGTTACTTTAAAACTTTAAAATATTTATTTTTTCTGTTACTTTAAAACTAGATAATTATTGTTTCTGACGCCAGCATCAGCTTTACAGAGCTGTTTCACTTGAATGCAGACTGTTGGTTCCTTGTCTCTCAGGCAGATGCACTCTGACTTCAAAGGAAGCTCCCCAGTTAGTCGACTCTTACGACATGCTTGGTGTAGGCAGTGGGTATATTCTTGTTTTCCCCACAATAGGGTCCCGGAACCCACATGGGAAAAAATTCCTAGTTCTGCTGTCATACCTGCCTGTGTTTACCACTTTTTTGCGGTGTAGGCAAGGAGGTCTGAGGATTCCGGGTCTGCACGGCTAGTGCTGTCGCCACGGAGTGTGCAGGGTCGGGTTTCATATTGTTGTTGTTGCTCCCGAGAGAAAGAAATCCGTGTCCTTGCCGTGGATTCGAATCTGGGTCTTCCCCCATGAGAGCCCAGTGTGCATAACCGTAGAGCGCCCGGCTCTCTAGCGTAGTTGGCTAAACCGGATTGCGCGGTGACCTGGTGACGAACTCCTTGTGGTCTGGGTTCCCTCCCGGGTGTAGACAGAAAAGCCACATTTCTCCCAGATTTACGGAATTTACAATGGAATCAAGGCCGAAAGGTTGCGATATCCATAATACCGAGCCTAAGGGTTAACAACTCATGGCTTCTGGATACTAAAACAAACAAATAAACTAACCGTAGAGCCAGCCACTCCTGCCCCAGTCCTACTAAACCGCCCTAGCAGTTGTAAGTGTAGGCAGTGTGTTCTGTCCTCGTGTAATTGTAATTTCCCTTTGGGTAATACGGATGTTTATGTAATTCAGCGGATCAACATGGCACACGGGTGTAACCCGTAAGAGCTCCATTCTACTTGGGACTCAAGCCTGAGTCAGAAGTTTCTCAGCGCAGTGCACAAAATCCGTTGCACTGGGATTATAAATCATCTCCGGACTCGCAGAACTCAACGAAAAGTTTCATTAAGAGGGAAAGAAAGAGTGGTTCTGGTCACTTGTGATGATCGAACAACAACAACCAGCTTATGTCCGGGGAAGCAAAGGCGGCAAGTGTGATGTTGAGGTAATTACTACAGAGGGACGGTTGATCTGTATAAATATGACTTGAGCATCATATGCCCCTGGCCTCTCAGGTAGACTCAGCTTTAAATGGATTACCAGGGACGGTCTTGGGGAAATAAAGGTGGCCGGCGTGATGTTGACCACATAACTTACCGTTTGTCAATTGGTCTATAGAAGATAGGTTTGAGCCCTATATGCCCAGTAACATGAAGGCCCTTGGCTTGTCGACTTCTGCAGCTTAGGCGTCGGAAACGCGCTTCCTAATGCCAGGGTACCTGGTTCGATCCCAGCTGCAGGCGATGTGACAGCAGACCGTCTTGCGTTAGTTTCGAAAGTGGTACCGAAAGTCAACCGTTTAGTAAGCAATGGCAAACTAGGTTAGTTGTGTATCCTTTACAGGACGTTGCAGAACCAACCCCAATAGCCTCTGACTTGTGTGGTTTTTCTAGGCAAATTTACGTCCAGTAGTTTGCCATTGCTTTGTAGACGTCGGCTTTCTTTGATACCACTGTCGAAACCAACGCAGGGCGCATGGCCCACAGCTGGGATCGAACCCGGCATCCCGGCATTACGAAGCGTTCACATCGACTTAGCCACAGAGCCGAAAATGGCAAACTACAGAACGTAAATGTCTCTAGAAAAACAATAGCCAAAAAATGCTGGAATTGGTTCTGCAGCTTTCCTTACTATTTCCGATGCGTCAGTGGTGTTTCCTCTTCTTCTACTGTTTTTATCGGTTGTAAGATCCGCTTTGTTTTGCGTGTACATCCGTTTTACTGGCCTGTGTGTGTGCAGTTGGCTGTTCCTTTCTGCTCGGGCAGATGCATTTCGATGGAAGCCTCTAGTTAGCCGACTCCTACGACATGCTTGTTTGGGCAGGCAGTGGGTCTATTCTTGTTTTCCACACAATGCGGCCCCAGAACCCACACGCGGCCCCGGTGATGTTGAAAAGTGCTCTCTGCTTTACTTACGTCTCCGACTAGTTCCACAGTACATAAAGCGCGCGGAAATGCGAAGTACACGGAAGTGTTGCAGATGGCAAAAACGTGTGTAGGCCATGAAGCTTTGCGCAACTTCCGCTCCTATAGTGTGTTTTCTTCCGCCGATGTGTATATGTGAACGCTATTCGCCAGAACCAGTGTTGCCACTTTAGATATTTTACATCCAGATTTAGATGGGTTTTTTTCCTGGCATTTAGGTGGCGCTTTTAACGTTTAGATGATAAATGTTTTTCATTTGGAGTGAATTTATCAAATCTAACCTAAGAAACAGAATGAAATTTAACATCTTAAAAGCTATTTTGACAATTAAATTCGGCCTGATAAGAGTAGGAAAAGGCTGTTTCACTTATCAGCTCCCTGAATTAGTATTAAAAGAAATTGGAAAATCCAAAGTCCTTTTGGGTCTGAAGCTTAAACTTCATTATCCAAGCTTAGTTTATCCTGTGGATCTTGTAAGGCAGACTTGAGTAAAGATGAGGACATGATTCTATAGGGTACGTCATATCAATTGCTATGTAATTTGTGACTCTTTCCATTTGGATGTTTTTTTCTAGATTTTTCCACTCAAATTTAGATGTTTTTTAGATATCTTTTGACTCCGTTTTGGATGTTTTTTGTCAAAGAAAAGTGGCAACACTGGCCAGTACTGTCTTTGTGTCTTTAGATAATAGAGCAGTGATTTGGCCGGTTAACGTTACCAGTGTTGGAAGAGTTTCTTTTTACAAGCCATTGCCGTTGTGGCTTGAGATTTTTTTTTTGGGGGGGGGGGGAGCGGTAGCAACTGTATGGTGTATCTGCATCTGTTTTTTTTTCCCCCTGTCATATTTTCAGCGCAGCTGTAGTAGACGCTTTGCATTGAGTACCGTCACCTTTTTTTAAGACAAAAAAAAAATTTATAGAAAGAATCTGGCAACTTGTTTTTCCCTACACGACACACCCTGTGTCTGGCAGAGCTGAATTGAGGCGAGAAGCTCCTGGGACATTTCCTTAGGAGCTCTATCCGCGGCAAGCGAGAAGTTTTATTGGCGTGTGACATTAGTCATTGAGTATATAGTCTTCTGTGTCGTGTACTGTGAGTTGTTTCTGGCTGATATGGATGTACCTTTATGTCGTAACGCCAACCTGACCAGATTCTCTCTGTTATACTTTCTCTCTCTCTCTCTCTCTCTCTCTCTCTCTCTCTCTCTCTCTCTCTCTCTCTCTCTCTCTCTCTCTTTCTCTCTTTCTCTCTCTCTCTCTTTCTTTCTTTCTATTTATCCTTTGCAAGAGTGCCGAAACTAGGGTACTCAGGCGATACGCCCACCCCAGGAGTTTTAGCATGGGGGAATATGGCTGACAGCATAGTATAAATATGTGAAGGAGTTGTTCGCCTCTTCCCATGTCTTCCTGTTCTTTCTCTTCTTCTTCTTCTTCTTCTTCTTCTTCTTCTTCTTCTTCTTCTTCTTCTTCTTCTTCTTCTTCTTCTCCTTCTTCTTCTTCTTCTTCTTTCTTCTTCTTTCTTCTTCTTTCTTCTTCTTCTTCTTCTTCTTCTTCTTCTTCTTCTTCTTCTTCTTCTTCTTCTTCTTCTTCTTCTTCTTCTTCTTCTTCTTCTTCTTCTTCTTCCCCCTCTTCCCCTTCTTGCTCTTCTTCTTTCTCTTCTTGCTCTTCTTCTTTCTCTTCTGCTCCTCCTCTTCTTCTTCCTCTTCTGCTCCTCTTCTTCTTGGTTTTTCTTCTCTTCTGCTTCTTCTTTTTCTTCTTCTTCTTCTTCTTCTTCTTCTTCTTCTTCTTCTTCTTCTTCTTCTTCTTCTTCTTCTTCTTCTTCTTCTTCTTCTTCTTCTTCTTCTTCTTCTTCTTCTTCTTCTTTCTTCTCCTCCTCCTCTTTTTCTTTTTCTTCTTTTTCTTCTTCTTTTCTTCTTCTCAAAAGGGTTTATTAAAATCGGATGTGTTCAGCTGAAAGGCCTAGATATCCTGTCCTGGCTGTAAACCACACCGCAATGTGCTAAACGCCTTTTAAGGTGAGAAGAAGAAGAAAAAGAAAGAAAGAAAGAGAAAAACAAATAAACAGAAGAAGAAGAAGAAGAAGAAGAAGAAGAAGAAGAAGAAGAAATAAAAATAATGTTAACCTTACATCGTCCACACATCGACACTTTTACTTATAGACTTCTTGTAATCCACAGAGGACCCGACCAGTACCGCAAGCGATGCCATCAACAAGGACAACACCTCTACCGCTGCCACAAAAACAAACACAGTAGCAAAACCCAGCACCAACGTCGCGATAACTGACAGCGAAATCAACAACAACAACGCCCCATGTCACTCCTCTGCTTTCTGTGATAACATTTCTTCGAAAACGAAGTCGCCCAGCAACGTGGCGCATGATGCCAAGAAAGACTCCAGGGAAGAAGAGTCTGTCCTAATCCACTGTGATAACTCTTACTGTACTGATCCATTGCTATATCAAGAGCCTTATGTGTCAGACAACGCAGCTAGGAGTCAAAGGAGTAACAGCGTAAACAGACGTCTGGACAGAGAACCTACAGAAGAAGATTCTTTCTTAATCCTCTGTGATATCTCTGATTGTACGAATCCTCTTCTACAACAAGAGCCATGTGTACCAGACAGCGCCGCTAAGAGTGAAAGGAGTAACGGTTTAAGCAGAAGGCTGGTGCCTCGTCCTCTGAAGCTAGCCATGGGAGATTTATATGTAGTAGAGAATGGGGCCAAACCTGTTGACCTGGCTCAGACGGAGGACACCAGTTCAACGGCAGAGATTCTGGGAGTCGAGAATGGGTATCCTGGTGGTAGGAGAAAGAGTGACAGCAAAATGTGCAACAACAAAGTGGATGTGGATAAAGTTGGTATGGATGACGAGAAAGATGACGGCAGTGGGCCCTGTGGATGGGGAAAGTTGCAGTTTGAGTGTTGCAAACGGTTCCTTAACGCCAGGTGGTTTTTGGTGGTGTTAACTATTTGCGGGGCATGCCAGGTGAGTCTTTAGTTTTCGTCTTTGTGTCACCATCGTCGTCGTCGTGATCATCTAATCGTCATCGTTATTATCATGTGCGAGGCTAGTAAGTGTAGGCTGTGGTAGTTCACCTTTTTTAGACGATATCTAGATTTCCTGTTAAGTCTGTGTTTGCCCCGCTTATACCATACGGGAAGCTGTGGTAGTAGGCGCCCTATTGCAATTTATTTTACCGGCGGCAGCTCATTCCCCTAAGAATTATTAGCGTTATGTACCCCCTCCCACACCCAACACACCCCCTAGCCCAACCTCCAAAGTATGCCTTTTTAATAGATTAAGAAAAATCTGGAACTTCTCATGATCTTCACCGCAGGGCGAGAGTTCTTTTCCCTGCCATTCATACCGCGACCGGTCGCACAGCCTATCCTGTTCTGTAGGGGATGTTATGAAATGGCTTCGCTTGGCGTTCGCTCGAGGTATATAATGTTTTTTTAGAGGCTATATTGCCATGAGTGTCTTTGAAGCGCATACAGTTAAAAATTACTGCAGGGGGAAGCGTCGAAGAAGCGACTGTTCTTGGGTATCGAAACTGGGAAGTTTAATGTTCTTGTATTTCTATGTTGCTTGTCAGTGGTTCTCGCGAGAAAAAGAAGCAATTTACAGCTAACGTAGAAATACAAAAACATTTGATACTGAAGAACCGTCGGGCAGGTAGCACAATATGGAAATATTCACGCAAGTGAGCGGTGACAACACGAGAAGAGAGACAACTGTTAAACCGTTGAAAGTAAGTAATATATGACACCCCGACAACATAGGTGAGGCCATAGGAGCGGCCGCGGCATGAATGGGAGGGGAAGGAACTCTCAGCGTGCGGGCAGGTTCGTGATAAGTACCCAGAATCCACAGTGGAAATTTGGTGTAGAACAGCTTGGGTTTTTTGGGAATATTAAGGGTTGTGAGCTCCCAATCTCTTTCACAGAGCGACTCTCATTCCACTGCCCAAAAACCGTAAGAATGTATTCTTTCCCCCTAAAGCGCCTACCGCAGAAATCTAACCCTAGCATGTGAAGGATGGCTTTACTCGCTGATAGACTTCTAATATCGCTCACTGACTGACAGAGCTGCTTTGTTTGACCTGGTAGCACGTTCAGTCTTTAGCCACTCCCGCTTTCAAAAGAGCGGTTGACACATGGTGTTTTAGTTTACAGCCAGGCTGCGAAATCTTGTCTCCGGTCAAACACATTGGATTTTATCACATTCTGTATTAGATGCCTTTTATGACACGCATTTTAAAGGGACAGTGGGTCTGTTTTTCCCACCCAAAGACTGGGCCTTAGAACCTAAGTTAGGGGGCTGCGTGGTCTCGAGGCATGGTATCCGACTCGAGTGTTAGAGGTTCCGGGTTCAATCCCTGGTAAGGGCTTGGGATTTTTTCACGTGGACTTGGCATTTGGGAATCTAAAAGAGTAGCGCTACCCGGGCAAATTTTTGAGTTAAAAAATCTACCGAAAAGTATTTCAGGATCCTCGCCGGTGCTACAGAGCTTCTTTGGAGTCAGAATTAAGTTAGAAGAAGAACGGAGCACTTATGGGTAACTACCCGTGTGCCTCGATGTCTATCCTTTGTTCAAACCTGAAACCTCTTCCTTGTCCACATCATCTTGCCTACGTGTTGTTGCACACCGTGCACCCTGACACCATTTTTGTTTACACGCCTTATCATAATTGAAATTTACACTAAATAAGATGGAGGTAAATTCTGCACAATGTTTACCCCCTTTCATTCACAATGTCAGCTTGAATTGTCTGGAGCTGGGAATCTAATAGAGATAACCAGCATGATGCCCGGACAGAAAATTCTAGATCATAATGAAGTAAATTCCAAATGGTGTTGAAACTCGACGCTCAAGAATCGTAACAAAAAATGCATGTTATTTAAATGAGGCGTTTATTATCTTGTATAACAGACACAAAAATACCTTTCCAAAACAGCAACATCAAAGAAAAGCACTAATAGAATATATTAAGCAATGCAATAAATGTTAGTATATTGGTGTTAAAGGAAGTTAGACAAAGGCAGTATGTGTGCTTTCGTAATAAATCACCCAAAACAGACATTCCAGTATTTCAAGGGGTGGCAGATAGGCTGCATGCAGTCGTGGGACCTATGCTGTATGCAGTTGCGGGACCTAGGCTGCACTCTATCGTGGGTCGTAGGGGGGTTTGGGTTAGGTCCAGTTCTAAATGTTTTCGGGTAGTTAAAGGCACCACAAAGCCGGGAAACCCCGGTCTTACCACCCTATAAAATATTAGACTGTCCCCGTGACGTCATCTGGAGGTCACTTATTACGAAAGAATGGGTGTTTGAAAACTTTGAAACAGGATTTAGAATTATCCGTATACAGAGGATCGTAAAGTAAAGTGAAAGACCCTTTTCCACGCCTTTCAGGCGTATTGGACATATAGGGCTAGACCTATATTTTATAGACCAAACGGCACTTGGTGGGTGATGTGGTCAGCATCACGCCGGCCGCCTTTACCTCCCAGGACTGTACCCGGTACTCGAGGCTGGGTTGATTTGTACAGTCCTGTGAAGTAAAGGCGACCGGTGTGATGTTGACCACATCATACAGAAAGGGCCGCCTGGTCTATAAAATATTGGTCCTAGCCCTACATGCCTAGTACAGCTGCAGGCGTGGAAAAGGGTTCTTTAGATTTGCATCATGATTGTCATCATCATCTTTCACTTAGTCTTAGTCGTGGTTTTAACTTTACTGCGATCAGGTTTCCCCCCATACCTGCTTCGTTCCTGTGCCGGTGAAAATCAAATAAAATGTCCCTCACGATACCATTAGCGCCGTCCGTGGCTTAGGCGTTGCGAGTCCGACTCGTAATTCCAACGTACCGCGATCAAAACCCACTGCTGGCTGCGTGGATTTGTATCGTGGTATGGGGCGTCGCAGGTCGAACCAGCCTAAAATGGGTACCAGGATGGCTGTCCTGGGGAAGTAAAGACGACGGGCGTAATGCTGACCACATTACCCATCCAGTGCTGATTGGTCTGTAAGAATATTGGACGCTCTTCCCATATACCCGATGCGCCTTTAGGCGTGAAAAGGGATCTTTACTATTTTCACGATCCCGTTTGAAAAACTGGTGAACAAACAATTAAACATTAAACAGTTAAACATCTTTCACTTAAGTCGTTTAAGTGTCATGGTGATGAAGAACACAAGTGTTCTCAGTGCTCAGTCTTCGAAGGTCAGTAGACGCTTGTGGGATGGAGGATGGTGGAGAACAACTCAAACAGTAACCAGTAAACTAGAAACGTTCATTAATTGGTGCCGGCGCAGAATAGGGAGAATTAGATGGTACGATAGAACCACTAATGTTGAGCTTTGAGAGAGAACAGGTTTCAGTCGACCATGAGATGAAGAAAAGACGCTGGCGTTGAATAGAACACACGCTGAATGTTGAGAAAACCTGAGAACAATATACTTGGAATGTATTTTCACTGGAACCCACATTGGTACATCTTCTTCTTCTCTTCTACCTTTTACCTCATCGAAGTGTCGTGGGGAGATGTAATGTTCGTTGATGAGCTCTGTCAAGAGCACTACATAATGGTACAAATAAACTTGGAGAAGGAAGCTTGACAATTCAGTCAAAAAGACGGAGTGGACTTGGGGTGAGCTGTTTTCAGTAGCGAAGGATAGAACGCCTTGGCTTGAATTGGTTGGTACCTATGCTCCATTGGGGAAATAGAAGACAGAAGAAGAAGAAAGAATGAATCGGGTAATCGCAGCTTTGTTGAAAGAATTTTTTTTTTTTTTTTTTTTGAAGACAAGTAAATGGGCTATTAGAAAATATTTATCTTCAAAATGATAATCAATTAAATAACACATGTTGCAAATATTTTAAACTGTAGTTCAATTTGTGTATTAATCTACTCGATAACAATTGTTACAAACGACCCGACACGCCAGCCTCACGAAAACGGGAATTCCCCTTTGAGCTGTAGGTCTTATATCTGGAACCGTGGTTAATCTTAGGATGGTATAAGAAGAAACTCCACAGGGAAGCCTGTACAGCAGGAGTCTACCAAGCATCAGAAGAAGTAATCTCTCGTCGACAAATGTTTCGGCCCACGAGCTCCTAGACATTTTCAGAGAGTGGGCCCCACCTGTGTTCACGAAGCTCAGGGTTGATTTTCTCCTGCTGCACGTATTACCGGATGTTCTCGGACAGGGACAAGACGAAAGTGGTGACTTTGCAAACGGTGCTGTGAGATACGAAGTATATTTCCGTAGTCGCTGCGGTAGCATAATTAGAGCAGTCAGCTTACCTGGACGACCGTACAGTAAATCGTTAGGTAGCTAAAATGGCTACTGGGTAACGTCGTGAGAAGTAAAGGCGTCCAGCGTGACGTTGACATCACCCACCGAGATCGATAGATCTGTGCAGTATAGATCTAGCAGCCCTGTATGCCCGGTACGCTTGAAGACGTGAAAAGGACCCTTTACTTCACTTTTACGAAAGTATAAATAAAGCGGCTCTGTGGGTTAGAGGTTAGTGAGCGAGTTTCACAGTCCTCGGCGTTCTTGTGTTAAATATCCGGTAGAAGACACAAAGAGGAGGATTTCTGGATGGCCCCACCTTGTGGTATACATGTAAAGTAAACCTTAAGGACCCGTCTTATGCCTTTGACGGTTTCAGAGTGTATTGCTAAACGTATTTTTTTTTATAGATTATGCCAAGTGTAAGACGGGCCTTCTTGCTTAGATTGCGACCCTTATAAAAAAAAATTTCGCTCTGTCTGTCTGTCTGTCTGTCTGTCTGTCTGTCTGTCTGTCTGTCTGTCTGTCTGTCTGTCTGTCTGTCTGTCTGTCTGTCTGTCTGTCTGTCTGTCAGTCTGTCTGTCTGTCTGTCTGTCTGTCTGTCTGTCAGTCTGTCAGTCTGTCTGTCTGTCTGTCTGTCTGTCTGTCTGTCTGTCTGTCTGTCTGTCTGTCTGTCTGTCTG